TTAGATAACAATTTTTTAGTAATCAATTACCTATTGTCTAATTCGAAATTTTTTCACCTATTATCTTGTAATTACTCCCTTCGTTCTAGTTTATGTGAATCTTTTTACTTTTTGAGAGTTGACTAATCTTTGAGACTAAATTGGATTAGATTAACTTAATATTTTAAATTTAAAATTAGATATCCAAAAACTATAGGAAAAATAATATAAGTTCCCATTTTTTCATATATCAATATGATGAAAAAATACCTTTCAAAATGCTGGTCAAAATTTACATAATTTGAATATCGAAAAACAAAAAGATTCACATAAACTAAAATGGAGGGAGTATAATTTAGTATTCTATTTTACCTCAAGATATGCATTCGTGTTTTTTTCTTCTCTTTTTGCATAATTAAAATGTAAACATGCTTCCTCTTTTTCTTTTTTTTGGTAATTAAAATTTTTACAATACCAAAACTGGAAGTATTACAACAGCCAGAAGAAACTAAAGTTTTTAAAAAGTCCAGGATTGGACATACAACCCCAATTCTAGATAAAAAAAACTAAATCATTGTCAATCCATCAAGATCTGCTTCACCTCTACATGATTCAGAGCATTGAGACATTTAGGGGTTGAAGTTTAAGTTATCTATTGCCTTTGTCAACCTGGGTTTCATCCTTCCTTTACAACATATTTCTTTGTAACGACTCAACCGGTCGTTTTGTATATTGTATCCCCAGTTCCCTATTTATTGCCTCTTCGATGTTCACTTATAGCTATGAGACTTGCTGGGGGTGGTTGGATTGGTTTCGGTCGGAGTGAATTGGGACACTTAGTCCCAAGATTAGAAGCTTAAGTTGAAAGAGCTGACTAGAGTTTGACTTGTGTGTAGACGACTCCGCAATAGAGTTCTAATGGTTTCAATAGTTTCGTATGGTAATTTTGGACCTAGGCGTATATGCAGATGTTGATTCGGAGTTCCGTAGGTTGATTTGGTGCTTTTTGACGAAAGTTAAAAAGTTGAAAGTTTGGAAGGTTAATAGGTTTGACCGATGGCTGGCTTTATTAATATCGGGTTCAGATTATGATTTTGAGAGTTGGTATAGGTCCGTTGTAGCATTTGGGAATTGCATGCAAAATTTGAAGTCATTCGGAGTTGTTTAGACTTGTTCGACGCAAATTTTGAATTTGGGAAATGTTCATTAGTTCATTAGGCTTGAATTGATGTGTGATTCGTAGTTTTGATGTTGTTTGGTATGATTTGATGCATCGAATAGGTTTGTGTTATATTTTGGGACTTGATGGTATACTTGGACGGAGTTATGGGGGCCTCGGTAGTGTTCCGAGTTGAATTTGGCTTGATTTGAGACTTGGTTATATTGTTGAGTCTGCTGAGATCTAGTGCTTTCGCACCTGTATTGTTTGGGCCGCAGAAGCGCCTAGTTGTCTGCAAATGCGATGATTGGCTAGGGAAGTTGGGTCTGTAGGTGCGGACATGGGAGCACAGATGCATAACTTCAGAAGCAGAACTTCTCCGCGGGTGCGGATATTGGCTAGACGAGCGGGGGACTGCAAGTGTGATTCTTTGTCTGCAGAAGTGGAAGCACAGGTGCGCCTTTAGTTCCGCAGAAACAGAATTGATGGGTCTTGAGTGGAAGCCGCATCTGCAATTGTTTTTTGTCAAATGGTTCGTCAGATTATGTTCCCAGTAGGGTGATTTCATTCTTGAAGGCCCAGCGGATGGTTGGGAAGGGTTGACTTTCTTATTTGGCCTTTGTGAGGGATGTTAGTGCAGAGATTCCTAGTATTGATTCAGTTCCAGTGGTGAGGGACTTTCCGGATATATTTCTTGCAGACCTGCGGGGCATGCCACCGGACAGGGATATTGACTTTGATATTGATTTGGTGTCGGGCACTCAGCCCATTTCCATTCCAGCGTATCGTATGGCACCGGCGGAGTTGAAGGAGCAGCTTCAGGAACTCCTTGATAAGGGGTTTATTCGGCCTAGTGTGTCACCGTGGGGCGTGCCTGTCCTATCTGTGAAGAAGAAGGATGACACTATAAGGATGTGCATTGATTACAGGCAGTTGAACAAAGTCACAATCAAGAACAAGTATCCTTTGCCTCGTATTGATGATTTATTCGACCAGCTTCAGGGAGCGAGAGTATTCTCCAAGATTGATCTCCGATCATGGTATCACCAGTTGAAGATCAGGGACTCAAATATTCTTAAGCCAGCTTTCAAGACCCGATATGGTCATTATGAGTTCCTTGTGATGTCTTTTGGGCTGACCAATGCCCCAGCAGCGTTCATGCATTTGATGAACAACGTGTTTCGGCCTTATCTCGACTCGTTTGTTATTGTATTCATTGATGATATTCTGGTATACTCGCATAGTCAGGAGGAGCACGCTGAGCATTTGAGAGTTGTATTGCAGCGGTTGAGTGAGGAGAAGTTTTATGCAAAGTTCTCCAAGTGTGAGTTTTGGATAAGTTCAGTGGCTTTTTTGGGGCACGTAGTGTCTAGTGAGGGTATTCAGGTTGACTCAAAGAAGATAGAGGCGGTTCAGAGTTAGCCCAGACCGTCCTAATAAGAGGATCTGATATCATAGCAGATATGTCCTTTCTGTTGTTGAGCAAATTGAAGGAAGAAACTTGCCATCTTTTATCCTACCAAATTAGCATCTACCACATATTTAAGGTCCCATATCAGCATTTGCAATAGGCATCAACATATGGCTTTGCCTAGAGCTGTACATAATTTGGTAAATACCGAATTACCGTACTGAATCAAAAACTTTGGTATTCGGTATTCGATATTTTGGTATTCAGTATGGTATTTGGTTTAAGTTTTAAAAAAGAATTGGTATTAGGTATGATATTTGATATTATAAAATGAAATACCGAAATACCGATACCGTACCGAAATATATATTATATTACACAATACATATTTTATTAATTATAATATAAATATAAGAAATCTAAAATTTTACTTTTCTTTATTCTCTAAGTTCATCAATTAACTCTCTAATTGTTTTCTCTCTCTAGGTTGGTATTTGTTGGTAATGGACAAAACTTTTATCAATAAACGTTTTTAGTTTTGTACTTTTGAGTACTTTAATTAAGAATATTATTGTCTATGACTCTATGCACTAATTAGTAATCACACCGAATATACCGAAGTTACCGAACCGAATAAACCGAAAGGAGAAAAACCGAACCATACCGAATTTAATTAGGTACGGTATTGGTATATCATTTTACAAAACCGAATACCGAACCGAAATGTCTAAATACCGTACTGTATCGTACCGACCGACGAACACAGTTAGCTTTGCCTTAGGTGGTTACTAGCAAAAACTTCAGCTCCAACTCAAAGCAGGTCTCCAGCCTCTTGTATATCAATTTATCCATCAAAAGTCCCTAAATTTCAAGTTGACTTTCTTGTTTCCATTCTTCTAGAGAAATGACAATACGAAGTACTAAGAAACCCATCAAGATGGCCAGGAGATGGCGAAAGTTTGCGGCCATACAGAGAAAGAGGATTTCACTTCCAAGTAACAGCAGTGATGCAGACAATAGTAGTACATCTTCATCCTCTATAGTTGGAAAAGGCCATTTTGTAGTATCATAACCGACCAAAGGTGCTTTGCGCTTCCTTTGGCTTATCTTGAAAATGAGGTCATTAGTCAACGTTTAGACCTGTTTGAAGAAGAGTTTGGGCTGCCAAGTGGTGGCCCTATTATGTTACCATGTAATTCAGTCGTCACGGATTGCATCATTTCATTGATCAAGAAAGGTGCAGTTGTTGGAGATCTACACAATGCATGGCTCCTCTCAATATTTTCATGTTGTTGTTCAACTTATTCATTGCACCAAATTGGAGAAACCAGCAGCTTCTTGTTTGTTAAGTCATGATTATCATCTATTGTAAAGGAGAGCTCAATGTAGATTGTATAGCAGGTGAAAAGTAGGCAATTGGAATCATATTTTACAGATGGAATAGTGCATTTTCTGAAAACTAACCTGATTTACAGCTTTCAGTTTTCAACTTGTATGGTATTTACCTTTGGTTGGCACTATCTGCTAATGGGGGCAATCGACAGAAAAAACATACTAATGAATGGATCATGCATGTGCAAGTCTTAAAATATGAAAATTAACTCTAAAGAGTTCAAATGAAGCGAACATATAAACTTGTATATTTTAAGTTCCGAAGATAATGCAATCCTCGAGCAGCACCTGCAATGATGATTATTAGTACTCTTTTAATGGTTTAAGCCAAAGAAGAAGAAATTGAAATTCATGTTAGGCTAGCCTCATCGATAAACACTTGCTCTTCTTTACGTATACAAAATCAGAGAACTCTGCCAAGACTAGTGCACTGGATTTGTGACAATGAGTACAAGTTCATTCATTTCACTCCATAAACCCTAGAACAGATGTTCTTGGCTTGACTGCCACTTCCTCCTATCCGGAAACTTTCCCTGTCATATGTATAGGTTCTTACTAGAAAAGTAGATTGTTATAGATTATTTAGAATTGCCTTGTTTCTTCCTTATTGTCTTCAGTATTTCAAGAAGTTACTCCTTCAATCTTCTTTTAAATGTTTGATTCTTCTTCGACTACTTGTTCAGCTAAGATCGACTAAATGGGAGTGTAGCTGACATGGTTAAAAGGAAAAATAAGCCATGCCTTTACTAGAGCTCCAACAATGATTGCAAGAATATAGAATATCCAATATCTAAAACCTAGCAGATGAATCATATTAACGAAGCTCATTAGAGAGTCATGTATATTGCACTACTAGCTTCCATTTTTTTGCCCGGACTATAGATGCTCAAAAAGACAACATGACAAAAATCCAATAATGAACAAAAGACATGCTTCAGAATATTTCATTGCAACTTCCTGATTTGCACAGGAAGATAATTATGAGATGCAGAAGAAATAGTCATGAATCTGCAACAGAGCTTACAGTTTGAAATTGGAGTAGCATTGCACATTGAACAATGAAATAGAATAGAGTTCCCCAATCATTTTATCGAGGCATGTATTACAAAACTGATGCCAGTTATCAATTGCCAAAAAAACATACAACAAGTCGCCTATCTTTGTAAGGAGTGTTAATAAGCTATAAACATAAACAGTATATTTTCTTAAAACTAAAAGGGGCTGCACCTGAGATCATCTTGGTCTCAGGCTGCCTACTTACCCCGCCAACGTAACAAATCCTTAAGAGGGGATCAAGCCCGCACGTAGTTCTTAATTTACATTTAGTACAAAACAATGTTCTATAATCAATCTATCTAATGTCGTCAGCAGCGTTGCACGAGTTCCAGTCTCGAGTAAGGCCACGTGATGTTGGCTCGAGATGATTTATGATGAAGGCTTGAGTTTCCATTTCAAATCCATCACCTTTTATCCAGCATTTAAACTTCGCTGAAATATAACGTACTTTGAATAACATATATAAAGACTTGGCTAGGAGAAACTAAAGTAATGCAATTTCTTATTACTTGTAGTTCTGTGCATATATACTAGCCTCCATCAATACAATTCTGAAGATAATACCTTGATAAGCTTACTTACCATCTGATCTTTTTGGTACTATTATTTCTCCTCTTAGATTGTAGATATAAATTCTTGATTGTATGAATCTTGTCCAAAGCTATACTTATTGGCATCCGATCTCTTGGCGATGAGCTAGAACATAAAAGTCCAATTTTCAAGATTGAAACCAAGCATCCTTCTATCATAGTGCTGGCATTTAGCTGGGATATGTGCTCATCATCTTCAAGTATTGCCTTTTCTTCCAAATCACTCGCATTGTCCTCTTTTTTGCTGTTTTCTTCATATGCTAAAAGCAATGCTGGATCAGCAATCTCCATAACATGTCTAGGCAAAGTGGTTTTGACATATTGGTGAATATTCAGGCCATCTTTGAATATTACATCGGTTGGCCTTCTACCAGTGAACAACTCTAGCAACATGATACCATAGCTATAAACATCTCCAAAAGTGGACACACTTACACCTGATCCATATTCTGCAAGATAATGATATGTTGGGACATTGAGAGAGTTTATTTTTTTCATTAAATACTGTGAGCATCGGAAAGACATATATAAGGTTGAAGTACACAAATATTTCATTTTACATGTTAGGACACCTGATAAGGGACGGGCGGATGCAACCTGAAGGTACCAGGTTCATCTAAACCCACGAGGTATGAAATTTTGTGTAAAAATCTGCTAAAATTACAAAAAATAGTAGATATGTACCTATAACTTTAAAAATATAACGTGTACGGGTTCAATGCTAGGAATCTTAAAGATTGAACTCATAGAACTTAAATCCTGGATCGGCCTCGGAAATAGCCATTGTGCAAGAGAAATCAAAATGAATTAGCGACATACCTGGTGGGATATAACCTATAGAACCCTTTAGTGCAATAGAAGTCTGTTTATTCCACGATTCATTTGACTTGAGGAGGAATTTTGCCAATCCAAAATCACCAACATGGGCAGTCATCTCTTCATCAAGTAGAATGTTGCTCGGTTTTAAATCACAGTGAACAATTGGTACTTGGCAATTGTTGTGGAGATAATCAAGTGCTGAAGCAACATCTATTGCTATGTTTAGCCTTTGGATAATGTTGAGGTATTGCTCATCACTTTTTGAGTGCAACCAATCATCTAGGCTTCCATTCGCCATGAATTCAAATACTATGCATTTGAAGTCATTACCTTGGTAATCGATGCTTGAACAAGCAGCTACGATCTTAAGGAGATTACGATGCCTTATACTTTTCAAAACTCTACATTCATCCAAAAAGCTTTTCAATGCACCTCTTTGTCGTAGGTTCAATACTTTCACTGCCATAACTTTATCAAAAACCTGAAACTGTCCTTTGTATACAGAACCAAAACTTCCAGTACCAACCAGATTATCCTCAGAAAATCCATTGGTTGACTTAAATATATCTTGGTAAGTTATCTTTGCTGCCAAAGATGGATCATTAGCTAAAGTTGGTTCGTCATCATCAAAATGTTCAGATTGCCTTTCTCTTGAGAACCGTGCACTGAGATCTCGCTTCCTAATTACTATATAGCAAGCAGTAAAAGAACACAAAAGTAGAAATAAAAATGTAACTGAAATAATAATCGCTACTTTTGTCCTTGAATGAATGTGTTTCTTTGATGCTGGATCTTTTTGTGTAGGGCATGCAGGAAAATTGTAGTTTGGAGGACCTCCACATAGTTTACGATTCCCTGAAATTGAAACTGCACTTTCATTCACAAAGATCCCTTCGTTTGGTACTTTGCCTTCAAGTTCATTGAATGAAAGATCAAGCTTCCTAAGATATGGAAGTTTGCCAAGAAACTCTGGTATTCCTCCTGAGATGTTGTTGTGTGACAAATCAATTTCTTCTAAAACTCTTAATCCTTTCAAGGATTCAGGAATTCTTCCTCGAAACAGGTTATTATTCGCGATGAAGCGGTATAAACTGACACAGCTGCTGAGTGTGCTTGGAATTTCACCTGATAATTTGTTATGTGAAATATCCATTTCCTTGAGATTTATCAACTTTCCCATTTCAGCTGGCAAGGAACCGGTCAAAGAATTATTCGCTAAGGCCAAAGAAATTGAAAGTGAAAAAAGACCTGCAAGCTCCTTTGGTATGGAACCAACAAGATTATTTCCAGTAAGGTTTAGTACTGATAAACTGGTACACTGTCCGAGCTCCGGAGGTATGTTCCCTTCTAGTTCATTATCCTCAATGTGTAAAGTTGTTAGAGATGTCAAGTTACCAAAAGAAGATGGAATAATTCCTGAAAACTTGTTTCCATTCAATTCCAATCCTTGTAGGTGTCGAAGCTTACCTAAAGACTCAGGAACACTGCCTCTGAAGTTGTTATTATCAAGCGATAAACGTGTCAAATTGACAAGGTTTCCTAGTCCAGCAGGAACAGAACCAATTATCCTATTATAACCAAGACCAAATATTTCAAGTCTCGTGGAAAGGTTACCGATGGTTTTAGGCAGTTCGCCGCCCAATAAATTGTCCTCAAAGCTTAAAACTTGAAGACTTGTACAGTTAACTAAGAAATCAAGAAACCTCAAATCCTCATTCCTGTTGCTCCCAAGACTATTGATCTCAAAATTGATCCTGTACAACCACTGTAATTGTCCTAAACTTGTAGGAACATTTCCAGTGAGGTTATTTTGAGACAATTCAATAACACTAAGTTTTGAAGCATTTGATAAAGAAACGGGAATCGATCCAGTGAAGTTGTTCACAGCAGCAGCAAACACCTCAAGATTTGGAAGAGTTAGGCCTATATCTGATGGAAGCTCTCCATACAGCAAGTTTTGAGTAACAGAGAAATAGTAAAGAGAGGAAATATTGAAAACAGATTGAGGAATTGTACCATTCAACTGATTTCCATAAACTTGGAAGATTTGCAGGTTTGACAAACGGCCAATATCTTGAGGTATTTGTCCTTGAAGATTGTTAATGGCAAGGGAAAGACCACGAAGCGACGAAAAGTTTCCAATCCAAGATGGGATACTTCCAGTGAGATTGTTGCTTCCAAATCCTAAATAATTCAACTTTGAAAGTGAAATGAGTTGATCGGGTATTTTACCAACAAGCCTATTATATTCTAGAGCAAGTGATCTAAGTTGTTTACAGTAAGTCAGATTAGAAGGAATGGTTCCAGTAAAAGAATTCCAAGTGAGATTGAGATGTTGCAGCTGAAGGAGGTTGCCAATTTCCATTGGGATTTCACCATAGAAGCTATTATTTCTAAGATTTATGGATGTGAGAAACGTGAGATTCCCAATAGAAGACGGTATAGAGCCAACGAGTTTTTGTGATCTCAAGTCAAGAATCATGACTCTTTCAATGGAGGGGTTGCATGTTATGCCTGTCCAATTGCAGTAATGGAGAGAATTATTCCAAGAAGCCATTACTTGGAATGGATCATTTGTTATTCTAACTTTCAAGTCTAACAAAACTTGTTCATCACCTTTAAATTCCAAGCTTGAGACAGCCATAGACATAACGAGAATTGAGCAATGGAAGTATGATAGTACTAACCATTTGGAATTCAGACAAGATTCTTCCATTTTTTGTTAGCTAGGACCACAATAAGACAATTTCTTCTTCTTGCTTCAACTTAAAAACTTGTATACCAATAAATGCAAAGCTGGTCATGAGATTCTATCTTTGTTTGAATTCTTGTTTGACTAGTAAATACTACCATTAAAAGGATATTTTCTTGTTCAGTTGAGCTAAATGTGAGGAGTTGCTTTCTATCAACATTCTTCAATAAATACTGTGTTCACTTTTACTTGTCCATTATACTAAAATATTATATTTTCACTTTTACTCGTTCATTTTTGCAAATCAAGATAAAGAAAATTGTTTCTTTTCTTTTCGTGTTTTACCCTTATCATTAACTACTCATTTCCCAAATTATTTCTCAAGATCTTTTGAACTGTTATCATTATTATAGGTAAAATTATGAAATACATACTTTTTTTTTTAAAGAAAGTGCAAAATCAAAAGTGGACAACCAAAAGTAATAAGAGGGAGTATAATAATGAAAAGAACTAAATATCTCTAGGATATTACCTACTTGACTGACTTACTAATTTAAAACATCATGCGAAAAATATCGATCTTTAATTCTCAAATGAATGAGCATTTTCAATTCAAACTTCCAAAATTTTAAAATATATAAATTTCTTTTAAAATGGAATAAATAAACATTTGAAACAAGATCCCTAAATAGATTAAAAATGAATTTCATGCGCTTAGGAAAAAAAGTCCTCTAATAGGGTTTGGGTGAAAGAGAAATTTCACTGCCCTCTTTCAAGAAATATTAACCGTCTGATATGATATTTTGCTGTAGGCATTTATTGGCAGGTGTGCATATTAGTAATTTTCCGATTTGGTGGGTTTGCATTTATTGGCATACAAACTTTGCGGATGCCTATTGGTCCTAAGAGGACAATTATTGCAAAGGATATTTTTTTTTTTTTTTTTTTTTTTTTTTTTTTTTTTTTTTTTTTTTTTTTTTTTTTTTTTTTTTTTTTTTTTTTTTTTTTTTTTTTTTTTTTTTTTTGAAATCTGGAGAGCACAGCACAGAAAAATGAGAACCCAGTCCGTAATACGTGACCAATTTGCCTTGGGCACACCCATTAAGAAAATATGAAATTCTAGATAAAAGTAGTTAGTATAATTAAACTACCATTAATTAAATATTGCGGCATAATTTTATGTGAAGAGTAAAAAGACTTTTTAGGAATACTTATATAAGGGTAATTTTGAAAAAATAAATTAAATTTTTTCTTGATTAGATAAATGAACACTTATTTTGGAACAAAATAAAAAGGCAAATTGATAACTTATTATGGACCGGAGAAAGTAAATCAGTATAAATTAGATAAACGTATATTTTTAATTGTTCTCTCTCTTTCTATCTATATATATATNGGTGGGTTAGTGGTTACGCATCCTTTTCAAAGGATTAGATATGTCGTTTTCAACATTAAATGCATAACTAAGATGTATTTAAGTCCATGTCTTTTGTTAAAGAAAAATAATATAAGTAATTATATTGGTATAACATCATGTCTTTTGTTAAAGAAAAATAATATAAGTAATTATATTGGTATAACATCATTATAAACACATTTCCCTTTACTTCCCTTTTCCAATTTTTTTAGCATTGTTGAATAATTAGTATGATAATCCAAAAGTTTTAGCCTACTCCTATTAGTTAAACTTTTTCCTTTTTAAAGCATATATGCACCTTCCGACTCAATTAAATACATTCTAATTGAACATAGTAGGAGAATTTCATCCCTAGTACAATCCTAAAAAAGGTAAAAATCCTCCTTTCTTGTTAATTGCTAATCCGCTATCGACGTCGAGCGAGATATGCGCCGTGATATCTGGTGCGGCGCGTATATCACGGCCCTCTGTCAATTGTGTGCAGCCGTTACCACGCTTTTCGAGGTCTCGTGGCTCGTTCTGGGTTCGAGGAGGTGTTGTCTTATCAGGCTCGGTGGCGAGCACTTTGTCGGGCCTTGATGCGAGAAGTTTCCAGGTTCGATTCTGATCTCATGTAGTCATATCCTAGCTTCGTTTGACCCACCAGGAAATCGGGATATGCGTTAGCCCCGGTTTCACCCGTATAGTCTCCTCGTTTCTACAAGAAATGATAGTTGAACCCCGGTTCCTTCCTTCGTATGTTATAACCGAGATGACGGATAAGACGAAACGTCCCATCAATCACGTCGTTCTGATTTCGGATACATGTCCACCATGAGGTGATCACATTCGAATATGAATTGTCGCGTATTGATTACATTTTTTCCTATAAAAACTTTGACCTTTTATACCTCTTTCACTTTCCGGCCCTAGCTTTTACCTTCAAATTTTCTAACGGCTCTCAACCTTTTCCAATCTTCATATCTTCATCTTTGATCTTCAAATCTTCATACTTGTTCTTAGATTTCTACCCAGATCTTCATCCTACCTTCATACTCTTTTCTTCAATCTCCATACTTGTTTCTTTAAACCTTCGTACTTTTTCTTCAAATCTTCATATTTTTCTTCTAAATCTGCATACTTCCCAAATTAAGATGCCTAAAACTTCCAAATCAGTTCCTTATCAGGCTGCTCCTTCATCTTCCTATCCGAACATAGATATTAAGGTGGCTTCTCCCGAGGTGGCTTCTCCCGAGGTGGATGCAAAGCTTTATGCTCGGGGGCTGTTCAATTGACGATGACTTCAAGGTCGAGAAGGCCTTCGCAAAACAAGACCGGGGACGAAGGATCACAGAAATACATATGCTTCATTACTGAAGATACCCTTCCCATAGTCCGAGAGGAGTGTAAATGGGAAGGCAAAGATATGGTTGTCCCCGATCTTGAGGACCATATTACTACCCATGTAGAGGGGTATTTAAGTGTTTACACTTACCCCTTCATGATGGGCCCGATAGACCTAGTAATCCTGGCCTTTTGCAAGAGGTACGAGGTGTGCCTCGGGCAAATCCACCTGTCCTTAGAGGATCGTGATCCTCCTATGTTATTTTATGAATAAAACTGAATCCCCTTGGTTCACCCTCGGCCACCTACTCCATCTGTATAGTCCCCGAATTTTCTGAGGGTGACTAATCAAGCTCTTTTGCTGAGCCAATAAGTCTCCCTTTTCGAGCATCGACAAGGATCGAGACCTAGGTTGTCAAGGGTGTTTTGTTCGGGTAAAAACTGAAGATCTCATCCCCTCCTAGTTCCTGCCATTCCCCGAGAAGTAGAATACATCTCGTTAGCATAGTCTTTCCATAAGCGTCAACCATCCTTTATTTCTTTTCTTATCACCAGTATTTACGGTCGTGCGGCTGTTGCTCGGGTTCCCAATCTGGTCCCTCGACTCAAGGAGTGGATCGAAGGAATCTACAAGCAGATGTCCTACTATGAGCACGCATGACGCAAACTTTCGAGGGCAGATGGTAGGCTCGTTCTCATGGTAAGACTTTTCCCTCGATAGTTATTAAAACGCCCCAAACTTACATAACGTTGACATTTTTCCTTTCTGTCACAGGTTTTCCTAAGACCACCGAACTTAGGCCACTGGATGGGGACGAGGATGCGTCCTTATCCGTTGATCCCTCCATTTCGGGACAACCCGGGACTGCCGTGGGGGAGAAGAAGAGGACAAGAAAATCCTCAGGTTCCTCGGACCCTGAGGTGAAGATTAAAAAAAGAGCGGCCACTCGGGTTCGTAAGCCCGAGAAGAATACTAATTCCCGGGTACCGGACTCAAACTCACTTCACCGGCTCAGGGATGAGTCTGAAAAAGACGATATCTTTGTTACTCATGGATCGACCCCTATCGGGTAGCAGGCAGCAACCGAGGAAAGGAGCCACGAGGCCAATTCCCTTCTGACTCGAGAGGCCAAAGTTGAGACGGGGGTTGTAACCTTCCGAGAAGCCGATTTTGTTCCGAAGGAGGCAACCGGCGTGATAGACATCATCGATATGCCTTCCTACACCAAGTCCATGCTTGAAGAGGCTCAAGAGGGTAAGGAAAAGTCAAGCGAAGGAGTTTACGGTGCGGATGACCCTCTCCACCCATTCTTCGATGGCATGGACATATCTACTGTGGAAGGTTTTTCCGGGTTAGGCGACCTGGAGATCCTAAAGAAGGATGTCCCCTTGAAAACTGGCAGGGCAAGTTCAATCCCAAAACTGGTGAAAGTGTTTCCCGTACCGAGCGACGCTCGACCATAAGAGAACAATCATTCTTACGGTGTCGGAGGATGCTCGGGTTCTATCCGCTCCAGTAGGCTTAGACAACTACCTCTGATGCCTGGTGACCGAGGAGGACTAGGCAAAGATGAATGAGGTGGGCGCATCAAGTCTCTTCAATGAGGCACATCATGCACTGAATCGGGTAAGACATCAATACTTTTACAATTCCTTATGAATTCCCCAAAGGTTTGATGTCTCTTACTGTTGTCATTGTTTTATAGGCCTCGGTGCTTCACTATAAGAGCTTCTTCTAGTATCGCTTGGAAATCAGCTAGCTCAAGTTCGAGCTTAAAGAGCAGATGCAAAAAAAGGACATGTACAGGTTGCTCAGTGAGCAACAGGACGGGGTCGTCAATGACCTTCAGGCCGAGCTAGACAGGGCTTAGAAGGAAGCTTCGACCCTGAAGTGGGAACACACCGACTTGGTTGAAAAGGTAAAGGTCTTTGAAGATAAGAACGAGCATCTAGTCACGATGACTAACAACTCAACTTCGCAGGTCCAACAAAAGATGGATCTGATCGACTAGGTGCGAGTCGAGATGGATGAGGTCAAGGTCTAGAACGAAGTGTGGAAGGGCAGGATGGACTGACTGGCCTCGAAGAAGGAGGCTGCAAAGGCGGAGTTAGCATCGGTGGAGAACCAACTTCAGGTGGCTAAAGTGAAAGCTGGCAAATGGTCTTAGATAAATGACAGTCTTCGAGCATAACTAAGCTCTGCTCTTGCATATCGGGATGCCCTCGGTAAGGAATATGAAGCACTGAAGTCCAAGTCAAGCATAACCTCAGTCGATGCCGAAGAAATGGTAGCCCAATATAAAGGCGACGTGGAGGCAACCGAGATCCGCCTAAAGGCAAATGTTGAATACATAAAGAGGCTGTCTCGAAGGGAAACCCTCGAGGAGATCCATGCTCGAGG